TGGACTCGATTAGAACCACCCTACAGCTATTCAGATTCCTGTTGTAACCTGCTTGTTTTGTAACAACCGAGACAAGTCGGGCAAGACTGACCTTCCTGGTGTATTAGGCCAAACTAAGCTCTAGCAAGGACTCAAAACAACAGGCTTAAAGCTAGTTTTGGCTCCTACATTTTCACCAGTTGTCTTAATTTAATGGGTTGTTTTTTTTCTTTTCCTTCCTATGGGGAGGGGAATGCATGCATTTTCTTCCTCTCCCGCTTCCTTTGGAAAAAAAAAAAGTGTATCTATGGTGGTATCTTCTAAAAAATAATAAAAAAATGAACAAAGTTTGTGATAATAAACAGCAGCTGCTGTTGGTGTGCTTGTTGGCTTTGTGTCTGCTACCTCAAAGCACATCACTAAGATTTGAGTACTTCCCACTTCACTGAAATTCAGAAGTTTTTGGAAGTGCTGCAGTACAATAATTAACAGAGATTGTTTAATTTGCAGCTGACTTGGAAAATTTGACTAGCGCCGAGCGCATAACAGTTCTCCAAGAAAAACTGCAGGAAATCAGGAAACATTACCTGTCCTTGAAATCTGAGGTGGCTTCCATTGACCGAAGAAGAAAGCGCTTAAAGAAAAAAGAGCGGGAAAGTAAGTGCTGGGAACTAAATTCTCATTTTAGAGGGCTAAATTGCATGTCATGTTATTAAGGTGTTTTTTTAAAAACACGGTATACAGTTATTTTACAATCTTTAGAAGGTACGGTTCAGATATCCAGTGACTAGGTAAGGGGAAAAACATTAAAAAGGCATGCAAGCTATTTAATTCTGTTTAGGCAGAACTTCTTTAAACAGAAAAAAAATATACAGAAAAATAAACTTTTCTAAGAAGTGAACAAAGTATCTAAGGTTTTTAATAACATAAATTTTCTTCAAGTTACACAGTAATTTACTATAGTATTGCGTGTGTGTCTGGTTAGTGCTTTCCCCTTAGGATGAGTGATTTATTTTATGAGTTTAAGGGAGACCATCAATTAAATCTCTCATTTCCCTGAAGCTGCTTCACGTATTGTGGTAGGGAATGTTCTAGTGTGCCTGCTTCTAGCAGCGTTAAAAGGATTACTTTCTCCATGTCTTGCTTATGTGCACATTTTTAAGAGCTCACTGAGTATAAGAAGACAGACTGAAATGCCATGCGTAGTAAGATTTTATGGCTGCAGCAGTCGCAGGGGAACTGCAGTTGCTGCTTGGTTGCCGGAGCAGGGTGTACGTGCAGATTCAGTGCTGGGACAAGGCCCTACCTGTGCTGATTCCCACGGGAAAGAAAGGGAAGAGTGGACTGTGCTTGCGGGTCAGGAACGAGCTCTGGCGTCCTCTGGCTGGGCCCTTGATCTGGGTGGTCGACGAACCAGGGCTGCAAGGGGCAATGCCGTGCTGTCTTGCACACGGCCGAAGCTGTCTCTCAGAGTATTTCCCACAAAAACTAGGGAATGGAGGCTTTTTTCTTTTTAATTACTAGGCATTAGTTGCTGGAGTCAGTAGATACCAATGCTTGTTGTTGAACGGGAAAACGTTTTTATTGCTTAATTTGTGAATTTTCGTAACCTGTGTTTTCCTCTTCCTGTGCAGGTGCTGCTACTACATCATCTTCCTCCTCATCACCTTCCTCTAGTTCCATTACGGCTGCAGTTATGTTAACTTTAGCAGAACCATCTATGTCAAGTTCATCACAGAATGGAATGTCAGTTGAGTGCAGGTGACAGCAGGACTTGCCAAAGCACTTTGCACTTAATGGCTGCTGAGGGCCACTCTTTTTTTTTTTTTCTTTTTTTTTTCTTTTTTTTATACTGCACAGTGGCACAAAATTCAGACAAGCACTATTTTGTATTTAAAGTTGTTTCTTGACAAGCTAACTTTGCACTTAAGTGCACTTTTATGAAGAAAAAGTACAACAAACTGCTTTTCCTCAAGCAATAATTGTTTCCAACTTGTCTGGGAATTGTAAGTCTGGTGACTCGAAGGCCTTCCACTGTGGCAAATGGAGGCTGTTCACTGCCTGTAGAGACAGTACAATAAGCATATAGTTGTTGGGTTGATCTAAATAAATGTGGTAAGGCTTACTGTATTCCCTGGTATTTTGTTAAAGCTGGAACATTTGATATTTTTCCATTTATTTATGACAAATATTGAACCTATTTTCATTTGTACAAGCTAATTGTTTTTTAACTGCTAAGTCACCTTATAGTGGCTTTAATTGTATACGTCAAGCACATGTATTCAATTCAAAACCTGCAGTTAGTAGGATGTTTGACATCAGTCCTGATAACCAAATACGAGGATTCCTTTAAAAAACAAAAAAAGACTGACTAATGTTTACAGGTTTGAATTAGGCTTAAATAGGTTACTCTGGGTTTTAAGAACCCATTAATTGGAATGAAACTACTGTACTTTGCCATTTTTCTATAAAACAGTATTTTTTTTTAATTTTGATAAAATACATTATGAAAAAGGAAGAAAATGGCTAACAAACTATTAAATCTTAATGTATAAAGATTGTATTTAGCCAGTTTAAAGTGTATATTTATTCATAATGGATTATAACAGTTATATTTTTGTGTTTTCTTGTAAATGTTTCTTTTCCCTTAAAGCAACAAATATTTCATTTGTAATGCTTATTTTATTACGAGCTTCAAGGAGAGGACTTCAAGATGGAGTAAGGTGTGAGGTTATAATTTGTGGTTGCTGATATGAACACTGCCACAAAAGGGTAGTTGTTTTTAAAATAGCTAGCTAGCTGAGTGGTAGACATTTAATTTTTTAAATGCCTTGTACAAATTCCAAAACCAACTTCAAACTGTTTTCACTTGTATTGATTTTACGTTGTATGGATCCCAAGCTCTCTCCTGTTAATTATATACCTTTGTAAGACATTTGTATATTGCGGAAGTGTTCATTCGAGCTATTTAATACCTGGCACTGTTAATACACAGTACTTTATTGTACAGATTGTTTTACTGTTTTAATTGTAGTTCTGTGTACTTCTTTTGCCTGGGGAAATAGGGGCTGGCATGTTTTTCTTTGTTTTCTGGCAATACAACATGTAAGAATTCAAAGCATTTTGTTTGTAGATGCTAGAGTGTCAGAATCCTTTACATTTGACTTTTCTAAGAAAAGCATTTTCAGTCTTCGTAGTGTGTGCTTAAGGTTAACTGATTTTATTGAAAATGGTTTCAAAGTATTCAGAATTGTACAGGACTGTAAAAATTTGTTGACAAACATTGAAGGAAAAGCTTATAGAAAAAAGCTATAAAATATATATTAGGTTCTGCAGAAAATGGAGAATTATGTAATATATTGTACAAATGTAAGCAAAGGCCTCTGAAATAAAATGCCATAGTTTGTGAATCCCTGATTTTGTTTCTAACGGTTTAATTAAGCAACCGTAGTGTGTTCATTAAAATGACATCAAGCTGCAGAATCAGTTTAGCAAATGATCTTTGATATGGTGTAATAGGCATATAAAGATAAGCTAGAGCAGGTACATTGGCCTAATTTTCCTCTTGGCGATTAATTCAAATTCATCCTCTTTTTCAGCAGAATGGGAGAGCTTGGCCCATTGACATTGTTAAGGCAGCACCAGTTGAAACAAAGATGAATTTTGATTCACGTATAATTCAAGTAGTTTGAAAATGTAAAAGGAAGCTCCCGAAGATATTTGCTGACTTCTAATATCGACTGCCTCAAGTTCAGATTCAGTGGAAGTGAAACTGGAATGAAACTTTTAGTGTTATCTGCTTGCATCATATCTGGCTGTAGTTCATTTGACCAAAATACTGTTACACCTGCAAAATGATAGGTTACTGGTGAGACTGATGAGTGGCAAATGGTGACAAACTTTGGAAACATTGACTGTGTTAATAATTACCAGTGACCTGAGACTGACAGGAGTAATTTTAGTAATTTCAGTGGGGCTACTTGGGGGATATTTACATATGTTTAAGTTTAGCAGAATCAGAGTCGTAATAGTTCAGTTCTGCCTTTCAGTCCCAGTCAGCGCAACTGGTACTGATTTAACTGCGAGCTACATCTGGGCCAGCAAGAGCAAATTCAGCTCACCGCTCACTACTAGTTCTTGATCAGCTCTCAGTTTTAGTGCCAGCATTTTTGCTTTGATGTGACAATTGTTGACTCTCATGTTCTATGAGAGGATTTGTTTGTTTGCTTGTTTAAAACGGGGATCATTAGTCACTTCCCCACTCCCAAATTGAGTTTTTGCATAAATAGGATTTTCGCTGTTCTTCAGTACAGGTATTATTTAATATTTGTTGTACTTCCCGTGCAGTTTAGTGACTAGTCAAAAATCTGTTCTGGATGTTTCATATTGCACCTCTTCTGTGAAGCGTGTCTGTAAATGGTATTCTCCAGGTTCATGTTACTTGTGTCCCAGCGGTTACAAAGGAAGGTACCTTTGGCAGACTCCTAGCCAGGCAACTTTACCCCGTGTTCCAGTGAGTCAAATCTGACCTTCTTGTCAGGTTACATATTGTAATGCAGCTTTAAACGTGGGTCTGCTCCCTGCTCGGCACGCACGCTGTGCTTGCAGCTGAGGAAGTTTCCCACCAGCAGTGACTGCTGGGCTGTGCCCGTACTCCCGAGTGCCAGCTCGGACCATGACCTGAAAGGCGAAGTGAGGCAAACTTACCCCTCCTTTATCCTTTACACCTTGGCTGAGCAACAGAATCAGTTTTGCGTCTCGTGTTTGATCGTGTTGAGAATAGCTGGGAGCGTAGACTGTCTGCATATGCTGAGAGGAGGCAGGCCTTGCCTGAAGGCGCGCTGCCTTGCTCCCGACTCCCTTTATTTACAGTCTCCACCGAGGCTTGTACGTACTTGTTACTGTGTAGCTTCCACCATGCCCTGAAATGTTCCTGTTGTCACAGGGCTCAAACTCACTCTGGCAGAGTTCCTGGAGGCTGTACGCCTTTTGTTGAGCTTCAGCAGTTACGAGACTCTGAAATGGGCTGGCTGAACTCGTCTGATGTAAATCTGATGTGTTTTGATGGTTCGGCCTGTTCTGCCCCACCTGTGTCACCTACAAAACTGCTGTATTGTGTGAAGGTAGATTGGAAAAGCCAATGCAAGTAGTGCAGCAGCCACCTGCCAGTTTTTAAGAATTTTTGTACTCTCTTGGCCTGACCCCATCAATGAGGGGTCCTACCTTTCCCAGCATCCAGGCGGCCAGACACGGGATGCCTGGTGCGCGCGTCGAGACTAACGCTTTACCTTTATTCCATAGCTGGATTACTTGTGCCTTCAGTTGGACATTGGTCCCAACAAAACGGCTAACGCTGGCAGTTCAAAAAGTGCGTAGAACGTTACAACAGAAGAGTGTTCGTATTTGCTTCAGCCTTTAAGTGCCTGGTAATTTTCTATGCTTTTCCAATTATTATCACATCATCTAGCATTTAAAATTACATTCTGGACGGGCAGGTCTAAAAGGAGATCCCAGCTAGGTGCCTAATTTCAGAGAGTTAGTAACAGATCAAACTTCCTTATGCATTAGCTGCACTGTGGCCTGCGTTGGAAAATGATCTGTTTGAGAATTAACCTAACGAAGAAGGGTCTTTTCCAGTTGGATGGCTTGTCCTGTCCTATCCGTGTAGCTGCAGCAGCAAGACGATCCAGAGCACTTACCTCTGTTGGCCATAGAGCGAAGCTGGGGGGAAGTGGTATGACTGGTTCCTCCTTTTCCTGCCCCCCAGGCTGCAGTCCTCGAATGCCCCGAGAAGTACTGGGTTTCAGGGATTTTTCATCAGAAAAAAAACTTATGTGCTTTAAAAGCCTGCTGCGGATCCCAGGTACGGATGAAACAATCCCGAAGGAGACTGCCCAGGTGATGCTTTGGGGCGATCTCTCTGGTGGCCGAATCACGTCTTAAGACTGTTCAAGCAGTAACTGCTTACCTGCCCCTGGCTCTGTGCTCTTTCTGTAACCCCGTTTTTGTTTGTGACGCATACCAGGTCTATTTCAGACCAACAAGTCATGGAAACCATTCAGGTTCAAGGCCTCTTTACACACGCACACACGCACGCACGCGCCCCTTTGCATTTTCGAATCCTTTTCTGGGTTTGTGTTAAGGTGAGCTACTTTAAAAGGGGCTGCAAGAGCACCAGGAGGATGCTTTCTGCCTGTGAGCTTAGCGCGAGGTCGCCCACCTTAATGAAATGGTTTGAGTAAGCCCTTTTCCACAGACTTTGGTTCAGTCTTTGAGCAGCAGCGCTGCCTGAGCGCGAGGTGGCCTGGCACAGGCCACGCTTCTTGACGGTTTCCACTTAATCTGCCATCAAGGACAAGAAGAATGTCCTGCGTAGACTTTGTCTGGGGGCCTGGGGGGGGGGTTGTGTGGTTGGTTTTTTGTTTGGTTGGGTTTTTTAAACTTGCTATAAATACTCTGATGACTTTTTAATGAAATACGGAATTCTGATTTAAAGCAGCAGTGACTGGATTTGTTCTCAAAGTTTTGTGAATTCTCTGATGGGTTTCTTAGCGCATCCACCACTAACGATTTTTAAAATTCTTTTTACAGTGCATGTTTCAGTGATTTTAAGTAGAAACAGCTTGAGAAGACAGAGAGAAGAAATAACAGCGTAATTTCCGTCTCCCTTCCCTGACGGAGCTGAGCACAGCGGGATTGGAGCTGAGGGCCGTGGAAAACAAACGAAACGGCCTCGTGCGCGATGTTTCCCCCCCTCCAAAACGAGCGCAACAGCCAAAGCTGATGACTTAGGTTTCCACGTTGCTACCACGCCCACAGAAAACCAAGCAAAACGGGCACACGCGCCGCCCTGTAAC